ACCTTTTTACTTGCTTTGCTTGTTTGCTTGTTTGGATTTTCACTAAAGTTTCACGGCTAAATAATAAGAACTCGCGGAGTAGTCATCACATCTAGGACCCGGGTTGACATTAAAACCCAAACCCGCTATACTACGCTTTAGGAAGTGGTTACACTTGACCATTTTCTAGAGTGACAGTAGGAGCGAGTCATGTGGTCGACCTATTCATCTCCATGTCGACCGCAACTGGCTTTCATTCGATTTATTCTTATGTTTTATGGACTGAGGTCGACCTATGATGATATTGAGGTCGACCTGTGACGTTCTGCTACGATTTCTTGAGTTTTTATTTAGATCTATATCTTGAAAAGAGGGATTTTCCCTTCTGTTCGTCAGATGCGGTCGACCTGTTAATCTTAGTGGTCGACCGCATCTGACTTTCAATCGTTTCATCTATTCTATGGACTGAGGTTGACCTGTGATTATATTGAGGTCGACCTGTGACATTTTGCAACGATTTTTTAGGTTTTTATTTAGATCTATAGCTTGAAAAGAGGGAATTTCCCTTCTGTTCATCATATGCGGTCGACCTGTTCATCTTCATGGTCGACCGCAACTGGATTTCATTCGATTTATCCTTATGTTTTATGGACTGAGGTCGACCTATGATATTGAGGTCGACCTGTGATGATATTGAGTTCGACCTGTGATGATATTTGTGCGAAACTAACTCTGGTCGACCTGTTGAAATTTTGCGGTCGACCAGATCTGTTTTGCACTCAACATTAAAAGGATTTGGCCATTTCAAACTCGTTTTAAATTAGCCGAGGTCGACCTATGATGCTTCTGAGGTCGACCTATGAAGGAAAAAATACTAGTTTTATCATTCTCCTACGAATTATTTGTGCCAAACTAACTCTGGTCGACCTGTGCAAATTATGAGGTCGACCAGTTCTGTTTTTCACTCAACATTAAAAGCATTTGGGCCATTTAAGACTCGTTTTAAATTTGACGAGGTCGACCTATGATGCTTCTGAGGTCGACCTATGAAGGCAAAAATACGAGTTTTGCCATTCTCCTACGAATTATTTGTGCGAAACTAATTGTGGTCGACCTTGTGTGATGTTGAGGTCGACCGCATCTGTTTCACACTCAACAATTAAAGCATTTGGGCCATTCAGTCTCGTTTTAAATTTTCTGAGGTCGAACTATGATGCTTCTGAGGTTGACCTATGAAGGCAAAAATACCAGTTTTGCCACTCTCCTACGAATTATTTGTGCTAAACTAATTGAGGTCGAACTGTTGTAATTTTGAGGTCGACCTAATCTGTTTCGCACTCAATATTTTAAGCATTTGGTCCATTCAGAGACTCGTTTTAAATTTTCCGATGTCGACCTATGCTTCATTTGAGGTCGACCTATTGTTTTTTGTACTCCAATTTTTACGGGTTTGAGTCGACCCATTCTCGTTTTAAATTAACTGAGGTCGAGCGCTTTATGGAGTGGTCGACCGCGTTTTGTTCATTTTGAAAATGTGACTAACGTGTATTCTCGCTTGTTTGATCGCAAGATGTTTGGCAACAAAAAGAAAAGAAAGTCACAAAAAGTTGTTGCCTCAAGTTCGGAATGGGAAGAGTTCAATCCCAATCTGTTCCAGACCAAGGAGCAGAGTGACAACTATGAAGAGAAGAGAATGCACAACCGCAGGGTGGCTCCTGGAAGGCCATTGACGACGGATGTGTATTCTCATTTCGAGAATTACGGGTTTCTAGGACCCTTTGTCGAGCAAGAGTGGTTGAAGGTGATATCTCTGAATGTACCATACCACCCAGCATAATGCAAATGGATCCATTCATGCATTTAAAAGCTATGTGAATGGGGTGGAGATGCGCATCAGCAAGAATGTGTTGGCGCAAGTACTAGAGGCTCCAAACGAGGGGAAGAGAATCAATTCTTACACTGCTTGGAATGAAACTCATTTCTCGAGAGCCAAGCAAATCCAGACGGTATGTGGTCTTGATGAAGAGGAAGATGCTCAGGGTCGCAGTAGGCCAACGAGTAACCACATGACAGTTCAAGCCAAAGTTCTTCACCACATGCTCTCCTACAACATTCTGCCAAAGGGTGGACATCGGGAGACAGTCACCTACTTCGACATGGAGCTCCTCACCAACCTACTGTTAGACGAGAAGGTGAACTTGCCATACTTGATCTTTAACCACATGCTTACTGCTGCAGAGAGTTCAAACAGGAATCTTCCCTATGGGATGATCCTCACTTTGCTATTTGAGCATTTTACTGCGAATTTAAGTGATGAGGTGGGGTTAAAAATCTCAAGGCAGGAGTTCTATACAGTTTCATCTCTGTAAAAGATGGGCTTTAAGCTGCGTAATGGTGAGTATGTCTGAATCAATGCTCATGGTGCCCATGGTGGTGGTGATGATGAGGAGGATGATGATGGTGATGGTGATGGTGATGGTGATGGTGATGAAGGAGCCGGAGACGAGCCAATGCCGCAGGCACAGAGGTCAACTCCACCGATCACCTTATAGCGTGTGTGGGAGTGCATGGATGGCATGTACGAGTACATGGGCCAGATGTCCACCCAGATGACTGGTATGTACGACTACATGGGGCAAATGACCGCCCAGATGAGCACAATGCATGTGACTGTGAATGAGATGCGAGATGAGTGGCGATCTTTCAGCGGAAGATACATGCATCCCACCACATCCGACCACCATCATGCTAGCACCACCAATGAAGAAAATGTGGATGAGGGAGAGAGGGGACATGAGTAGGAACTCGAAGATTTTAGATTGTGTTTTTTTATTGTTAAGTGGTCAAAACGATTGTTGATTGTTATTTTGATGTTTTAGTTTTTTTTTTATGTGTGAACAATTATGATTTCTGTTTTATTGAATTTCTTGTTAGTTTGTTTAGTTGTTATGCTATGAATTGATGAGTCCTTGTTATCATTATTTATGATGGTTTGAAACATTGTGTATACGAGCAAAAGAACCATACAAATCGACATACATAAGCAAAAAAGACACAGGGCATAGGTTGACTTTCTTGTATGCGGTCGACCTTGTACCGGATTAGGTCGACCTCGAAACCAACACTTGATCTTCATTTATGCCAAATGATTGGACAGATTGATAGAACACTTATCTTCTATCTGGTCGACCTCTTTCCTTATCTTGTCGACCATTTTGTTAATGACTGCCATCAAGTGGTCGACCTATATACCTTTTCGGTCGACCATGTTGTTTCTGACGCCAACGAAATGGCCGACCGAGGTTTTATTCTGGTCGACCAAAAATAACAACTTAAACTAGGTGCGGTCGACCAGGTGGTCGTTGAGGTCGACCACAATGCTTTCTCGTGCTGCCCAAATTAGTCAATTCGGTCGACCACCTTCAGGATTAGGTCGACCGAAAAGTCCATGTCACGGTGACATGCATGTCACAGTAGGCATACCCAACACTTTTATGCCACCTAAATGAAATGAGTCCAATTCTTGATTGATACATATATATGGAGTGTTTTATTTTATCCAAAAATTAACGTGTACCGGGACACATTTCATAGGCCCTAGCTCCCCCTATGATTATGGCTCGATGTTTCTTTGGAGTTTTGTGGCTCCCCTAGGATATTCTACTCTCCTTTGAATGTGATTTCTATGCCTAAACTCCCTTTGTCTCTTTAGCTTGAAGCAATCCTTTTCACAGCCTTGTCCATCGTCATGTAATCACGAATACGAGATTCGTTGTATTAGATGTCTTTCGGCAATTCCTAGGAGGCGCTACATGGTATTGTTGTGTTCAATCGCCATGGATTTTGTTGTGATCAGACGAGTTGATTCTGATCATTCATTGGGCGGAAGAAAGAGGGATTCTGAGTGTATGGTGTCTGGTTGACGTGCTCAACTCTTTTGGGTGATTGTTTTCACTCGACAATTCGCTTTCATTTTATATTTTTCTGAAGCATGATTTACTTTCGACAGTTTTTCCAACGATGCTTTTCTCTTGGTTGGGATCGAGTATATATATTTCATTTTGTCCCTCTCTGTTAACCGATTATTCAAAGTACAATACAAATTCCTCTTTGGAAAAAAAAATTCTTCTCAATTATATATCCTACAGTCACTCCATAATTCACATAAGAATATAATGATATTATTTCACTCCCCACAAAGTGATGAGTAAAGCCATTTTCACTGGTGTCTTGTCTTAAGGGTGGCAAAATTAGAGCAGTTCCTTATACTGCTAATCGATTTGAACATAAAGTGACGCATTAAGTCATTTTGTTGTCAAAGTACAGAGTCAGCATCTTTTGATTTTTAGATGATGCGTCTCTGTTATGTTGCTTGATTCTGGGGATTGCATTGCATGTTAGTATCTAACATTGTCTTATTGATCCATCTTTGTAAAACATATTTCAATTTGAAAATCAATTTGTCAATTCAAACGAATCATCTATTTAGTTTAATACTTCCAAGTTTTCCATTACCAAACAAGAGCCTAGTTAGTCTTCCCTAATTAAACAATTCTTTCTTTGCCCATATCGTAGGAAGGCAGCAAATGACTTTCATAGAAGTCCAGTGACCAAAATACCCAAAAGATTATGCAAACCCAAACCCAAATTGGTTGGGTATTATAGGAAAAGCCCACAAAAAACTGACCATTTGTCCAGATGGTAATAATTAATAAATAAAAATAATAATAATCAATACTCTCATCTTCACCCAACTGTACAAAAGGGTTCTCTTCTCTCTCACACCCAAAAACCTAATTATTTTGTTTCTTTCCTTCTTTCACCGCCGCCCTCCTCCCCTTCCTCCGCCGGAGCTGCCTCCATCTCTCCCTCCCCGCCACGCGCCGCCGCCCCTTTCTTTTCACCCTCTTCCCCTTCCCATTTTTTTTTTTATTTCATTACTTTTAATACATTAAAAACGAAGGAACTCATAGCTATAGCTAAAAAAGAGTATATATATTCGGAAGGGCACTCTCTCCCCTCTCATTCCCAAATCCCAAACACACAGCGGAAAAGAGAGAGAGAAAGAGAAAGATGGATAGAATGGAAATAGAAGGGAAGACGACGCCGTCGAGGTTCAAAAGGATATGCGTCTTCTGCGGCAGCAGCTCGGGCAAGAAACCCACCTACCAGGAAGCTGCGGTTCAGTTAGGCCAGGAACTGGTAATTTCCATTTCTTCCCATTATCTTTATTATGCCGCATTCAATACAAAGTAAACGCATTTCCTTCCATCGATCTCTTCCTTTGCCTGTCGTTCCTTCTGGGTGCAATTGTTCATTTGGCCGGGGATCGAAGAGGTAAAAAGTTAGGAACTTGTAATGTGGGTTTTGGGTCTTTCCTTTTGTTTTAGCGCGAGTTGAAATTTGGTAATGGTGGTCATTTTTCTTTGAGGTGCTTTTGGCGACCAGACGTTACAAAAAGGGTTTGCCACAAAACGACCATTTGGTTGCTTTTGGTAACCCTTTTCCGGTGGTCGCAAAAGGGCCTTGTTTGTTTTTGTCTTTTGTGTAGTATTCTTTGAATATTGTTGTGTGGGTTATTATGAGAGGAATTTGCGGGAACCGAAGGTCTGTCTGTGGAAACAACGTGGGGCTTATGATTGGAGAGCCTCCCTAGGTAATGGGAGGAAGTAGGGAGGAGGAGGAGGAGGAGGAGTTTAATTATTAAGTTAGTTTGGCTTAGTTATTTCTTCTTCTTCTTCTTGTTCTAAAAAAAGAGGCACGAAGGGTGCTTTAGGAGGCTAGCTAGCTGTAAGACGTGTCAGTTGAGCAGCCTGCTTCTTGCATGATCCTTCCTCTCATAATTCTGTTTTTTAAACATTTTTTGGGTGATAGATTTAAAGTCTTGTACCTGAAAAATTAATGCTAGGATATTTTGGCCGAAATCGTGGTATATTGACGATTTAATCATTGCATACCTGTTAAATACTGTTTACCAATTTAACTTTTGATAAAAAAAAGTTTTTCTGGTCCAACCTTCAATACAGTATGGTTTTTTTCAATTTGTGGCAAATTTGGTGGGTTGGCTGTGGGGAAGGAGACAGACGTGCTGCCCTTGTTCCTATGGATGATGGGCCTTGGGTTCTTCTTCTCTCTAGGCGTGGTGGGTTTTGGTACATAAAACAAGCAATCATTTTTTTTAGTGGCTCGATTTCTGCCTAATTTGTTGTTTTTGTTGTTGTGGTTGATAATGATTGGATTTGTGCCTAATATCTTACTTACATAGCTCGGTAGCAATAGCATAGCTCCATGAAGTTTTGTTTGATCTATGTATCTGTTTTGTGGTTAACTTATTATATTGATTGTAATTTTGTTTGTGTTTGAATGAGAAGGTGGAGAGAAGGATTGATTTGGTGTATGGAGGTGGAAGCGTGGGATTGATGGGCCTTGTTTCTCAGGCTGTTCATGATGGTGGCCGCCATGTTCTAGGGTTAGTCCTCTCTCTCTCTCTCGAGAATGTTCATTGCAAGCAAATATAATGATAAAAAATTATAATTACTGTCCCAAGGAACAGAACTGACCAGACCATCATTCTTTGTAACCCATCCCCGGTTACATTTGTTTATATCATATTGTTCCTTCCAATACAAGAATGCAAGTTTTAGCTTTACCCTAGGAAGGGTGTTTCTTGTTGGAGTCCTCAAAATTTTTACATCATGCACAAAAACATGCTCCAACCGACGAACCAACCAACCAGACATCATGGGATCAAATGCCCTCTCCTTTTGTCTTTGTTCCATTCTTTTAGTTTTACTGACCACTTTTGGGTGTCCCCATCCTGCTGGCTCTTGTAAAGTCATGCTCCTTTTGGACAAAGGCAAAAAAGGGTATTGTCTTTTTCTTTTTTTTTTTCTCAAGTTGGCAATGAGAACATTGGTTACACGAATTGTGTATAAACCGTGTCAAATTTGTGTGCATGATGGCAAAAGAAAGAAAGAAAGAAAAGGACGACTGGTATGGTACTACTACTGTAGAATCATCTAAAAGCCAAAAAAAAAGAAGCTTTTCTGACCATTTTATTATACACAACAACATGTCAACCCAATCCCACATGCCTTTCCCCCAGATTCTGCAAAATTAATACTAATCATCAACTCTAATCTAATCAACAAAACTAAACCATATTACAGATTACAGATCCTAATCTTTTGCTGTTCTTTTTTTCTTCCTTTCTTTTCCCCTCTACAGGGTTATTCCGAGGACTTTAATGCCAGTAGAGGTAAATGTCACAACCAAAGCTTCCTCCTCCCTTCAATTTTGGCTTTAGTAACATGTCTTCTTGTCTTGTGAAAATGAAAACATCACTCACTAACTACGTACTTTTTGCAGATAACGGGAGGATCGGTTGGAGAAGTTAGAGCTGTATCAGATATGCACCAAAGAAAAGCCGAAATGGCACGCCAAGCCGACGCATTCATCGCCTTGCCAGGAGGTTACGGAACCCTAGAGGAACTGCTCGAGGTCATCACCTGGGCTCAACTTGGCATCCATCGCAAGCCCGTAAGCTCCAATCCCCCCTTTTTTTTTTACACTTTTTACTTAATTTCTAAATATAATAAGTGATCCTAAAAAGCTCTGTTAGGTGGTCTAAAACTGATCACATGATGTCATGTTGACTGCCTCTTCTTCTTGTTACATATTAAAACATATATACTTAAATTAGCTCCCTTGAGTACACGACTGTCCGATCTCTTAGATGGGCCGTGTTGAAATTCCTACTTCATTTGAGGGCATATCTTAATCATGTTCCACCACGGGATTATTGGATTAATTAAAGTTATATATCCTTTGTTAATCCAGCAAAATCAAAGATTTGTTGCATATTACATATACATATATGTATTTGTGTGTGGAACGGAAATGAAGTCTTAAGATGGCAAGCGGCAGCTTGCGAATCAAAACATGTGGTCTTGCTTTCAATGTGTTCACATGGATACAAAAGATTGGAACTTGCCACCAAAAGACGTCTTTTTCGTGGTGGTCAAGGTTTTTTTTTTTTTTAATGAACGAGTCCGGTTCGAATTGTTGTTCAGTGCAGACTAATTATAATCGAGACTAACTTTTACATATCGCAGGTGGGTTTGTTGAACGTGGATGGTTACTACAATTCTTTGTTGAGTTTCATCGATAAGGCTGTGGATGAAGGGTTCGTCTCGCCGATGGCGCGTCGAATTATCGTCTCCGCACCGACTGCCAAAGACTTGGTCAGACAACTTGAGGTAATGTATACTCACTTTTTGGTTGATGATCTCCAAGTAACCAATTTAATAAAATATTGTAAAAAGTGGGAAGTAGTGGCCAACTTGAATTTGTTTTATCCAGTATTGGATGGGGTAACAAATGTTGAATGAATGTCCCTATCAATTCCTACACCATATTTTCTTAATGTGACTTTTTTTTTAATTAGTTTTAAGGAAAGAAAGTGGTGTCCCATTAGAATAAATTAATTTGTTTAACTTCTGTTTGTTCATTATTAATGCAATTATTGATTATCAGGAATACGAGCCTGAGTATGATGAAGTAACAGCCAAGTTGGTGTGGGAGGAGGTGGACAGAAGAAACTACGTGGCCGAACCTGGCGTCGCCACGTGATAATAAATGGAACAAACTGCACCGGCGGGAAGTCGGAGCATGGTCGGTCGGGCGTTTTATTTACCGGAGGGGAGGCTTTTTCGGCGCCGGCGGCCGGGTGGCGGAGGATGCTTCAGGGAATGAAAAGCTTGGTAGGGCAGTTTGAATTTGATTAATTAATTTGCTTTTCGGGAAGGAATTAATGTAGGGGTGGGGTTGATTAATTAGTCTCTATATAATATATTTTATATGATATAATGATATAAGAATATGATGATAGTAGTTAGCTAAAATGATGGGAAAGAAAGGGAGTTAGAGTTGGGGGATTGAAATGGGAATGTGTTTGTCCCTTTTTGTAAGAAACTGAAAAGTAAAGTGATGAAAATGGATGTGGAGAAAAGTGGGGAAGCTTCCTTCTTTCCTTTCTTAAATCATGTTGGTTTGCCGTCTTCAATTATTTCTATCCATAAAGTCACAAAGACTTTGGTGAAGCAGGCAGAGAGTAAAAATTATGAATATTTTCCCAGCTCATGATGAATTGTTTTGGTCGTGAGGGAGTTCATATGGACTATGAAAAACTAATACTCGCCTCAAATTGGTATGGTTTGTTATCATTCCATACTTAAAGTCTTTGGAGTTTTAAAGTGGCAGATATCATCTCAATATGCTTTGTTCTTCTATGAAAAATATTATTTTTTTAATCTGTATGGCTGATCTATTATCACAATAAACCTTTAGCGGCATTTTAACCTGATTTCTGTATGCATACTATTCAACCATTGTAACTCACAAATTAACTTCACTAGTGCATGCATTCAACTTTCGGGATGATCTAGACAAAATATTTAACTTCAGCGAACTTCCTTGAAATGTTAATTGTGTGGTGATCGACCTCCTCTTATCAAGGTAGCCTGTGCAATTATAATCTGAGAAATGATTCGGAAAGAGAAATGGCATAGAAATGAAGTCTTTATCCTAGTGCATGTTTTAGATATCTCAATGCTCTCTATGGAGCTTGTAAGTATAGGTGTCAATCGGGCGGGTTCGGGCGGGTTCGGCCTGGGTTCAATCAGGTTCGGGTTCAAACGGGTTGCGGGTTAGTCGGGTTGCGGGTTTATCGGGTTTGGGTTCATCGGGTTCGGTTTCAAACGAGTTGCGGGTTAGTCGGGTTGCGGGTTCATCGGGTTCGGATTCAATCGGGTTGCGGGCAAATTGGGTTGCGGGTTCATCGGGTTTTGGGTCGGGCGGGTTGCGGGCGGGTCGGGTTTCAGGTTGTTCGGGCCAGCGCATCAAGTAACTTAACTCATTACTCATTACCAACTTACACATTTTATTACACTAATTTAAAATATTTTCTCAACTTTTTAACCAAACTATTTCTACCTCGTATATATATACTTTATTTTTTTTTGAAAAAAACTAGTCAAAATGTTAAATCAATTTGTATGACTTGCAAACTTGTTATGTAATTAATCATAATTGGTAAAGTATTATAGCTAATAGTAATGGTGATATCAATATTTGCAACCAAAAGACACCGTTAATTGTTTATTTGATATTTTAGTATAAATTCAGTAGTAATTGGATTAAAGTATCTCGTTTAGTATAACCATGCAACTCTGGTATTTGGCGTGTGGTATTTGGCAAAAGCATAGTGATAAAAGGAGTTATTTCAAAATAACTCATTGCCAAAATAACTTTAGTAAACTGTTGCCAAACGAGTTATTTGTAAAATTGTTCGAATTATCCTAAAAATTGAACCATTAAAGATTAGCTATCAAATTTAGTAAAATTATTGTGACTTCAATCATAACTTACTCAATAGCATATATCCTATACACTTAGCTTTACCCTCAATCAACAATATTAAGTTAGTATATGTTGTTGATTGTATACCCTAAACCATCAATACGTTATACACTAACCACATAACCTATACCCTAACCATATGTCCTTGAGTTGTGATTTTGCTAGTATAGTTAATTTAAAAGTGAAATTCATACTTTGATTTTCAAAACATAGATAAAAAGTGATAAGCCTCGAACCATGTGGGGCTGAAGTGGTTCGAGTTCAGTGAAATTTCCAACAACCTTAACTTTGTGCTCAGTTATCCGATCGTAGCAAACTTTTTTTTTCATTTCACATAACTTGTCGAGGACTACAACTTTTATAATATAAATATTTTCAGAATATATCTGAAAATGTGAAAATTAAAGTTAAAGTTACTCCAAAACCCCTTATATTTAAAAATATTCCTATTTTAAAAGTTTATTCCAATTAAATGTTGTAGTACTAAAAAAATTATGCAAAATAAAAAAAACTTTGTGACTTTCGGATTGCGGAGCACAAAGTTATGATCCTCTAAAGTTTGGCAAAATAAAAAAATTGCTCGTTCAGGGGTGACAAATGACGTTTTCTCGGGGCGAATGCACGAGAAATTTTTTTATAAATAGGGAATTTCTGCCAAAAGAGAAATATTTTTCCAAACGAGAAATTTTTGGATGACTATCTTCCGAGAAAACGTCATTTGCTACCCATAAACGAGCAAATTTCCAAATTTTTCAAACTTTAGAGGATCATAACTTTGTGCTCCGCAATCCGAACGTCGCAATTTTATTTTATTTTTTTTGCGTAATTTTTTTAGTACTATAGCATTTACTAGGAACAAATTTTCAAAATAGGAATAGTTTTTAATATAAGGGGTTTTGGAAGTAACTTTAAATTTAATTTTCACATTTTCACATATATTCTGAAAATATTTCTATCATGAAAGTTGTAGTCCTCGAAAAGTTATGCGAAATGAAAAACAGTTTGCTACGATTGGATAACCGAGCACAAAGTTAAAGTTGTTGGAAATTTCAAAGGAGTGGTTCGAGTTCAGTGAACTCGAACCACTTCAGCCCCACATGGTTTGAGACTTATATAATCGATCTACGACTAGATCGAGTCTCCTACACTCGAACCGGTTAGTAGTTCGAGTTCCTCAAACTCGAACCTCCAAACTTAGGTATTTTGGGAAATTTTTTTATAAGTGTGGTAGTTTAGGAATTTGTTTTACTTTTATGTGTATTTAGGGAATTATTCCATATAGGGACATCTTAAGTTACTCATTTGTTTGCCGATCAAAAAGAAGGCACTCTGGTGGGATCCCTTGATAATGATCGAGTTACATTGCTTCTTCGGCCCGAACCAAAGACTCCCTAATTGAATCCCATATGATCATATAACTAGACAGATCGACTGGGCCTAAATTTCTGCAAACCAAACAACTAGACCATTAAAACAAACACTCGATTAAATACCATATCCAGATTTACCTGTTTGGCCATTATTGTTTTGTCGTTCTTTTTCTCGCGCAATCATAATAAAACCCCCGACCGGCCATGAACATTATACTATTACCACCACCACCACCATTAATCATGGCGACGAACTCGACAATATACCGTTTGAATTCCATTCCATCCTATTGCTTCCCTTGCTCCAACATCTAACAGACAAACACTTCGACCAGGAGGCAGATCAAGGGAAAGTAAACTGAAATGAATTGAAAACAACATAATCATTCAATTGTATATTATTGTGCTACTTGTTTTCGATGAACGATTATGATTCTAACTATTGAAAGGAGTTGCTGTCTGCATGTCAACATGTGAGCCACATGATGTGTTTGTTAATTAGTTATAAAAGTGTTGTTTAATTAGTTATTAAACCACAGGTATCTTAGTTGATCATGTTCTTTCTGATGATAAAAATATAACCCCGACCAATTATTATCGTTTACTTTTAAACAAGCTGTTGTTGTTGTAGCAATGATGGATGGTTCTCAGTCAAACCATATGGGAAGGTGGTCAAGGTCAACTACATGAAGAATCTTGATTAGGTTTTGAATGCAAACAAGCAAAAGATACTCGGCCAAAATTTATATACGCTACCGTATGGCCCCAACAAGCTGCCCACTATTAACTTGGATTGCGATCCAATCACAAGCCTGGTTTCAAGTAAACTAAAAATTTGAGGCAAGTAGAGTTGCTTAATCAATCGTCAAAGATGATATTTTCTCCACACCTTCACGGAGAACCTACGATCTATCATTACATTGGCTATACATATATATTATTCATTCAAAAAAAAAATGTAATGTTGGGTACATGTCCAGAAATTAAAGGTGGTCATTGGGAGGGTGGGGTGAGACGGTGAGTTTTAGCAATGTTGTCATAACCAAACCGGAGCATGACCCGGTAATGCGAACGGTTCGCACTTTAGTGGTTCAATCGGTATTAGACCGTTTAAAAACCGTTAGAGAACCGGTACCTAATAAACGTTATCAGTATAAATAGTGGACATTTATTAATCATAGCTCATCTCTTTCCTTCGAAATTGTGAAATGGAAATAAGTATTCAGTTTAAGAGCCTACGTTTTATGTTTATTTCAATTTTCTGCAATTTTTTTAATTAAATTTAGCGGCTGAATGGCAAAAACCGAACCAGCGGCTCAATCGGCTCGAACGGTTAACCGCCTCGGCCGCTCGCCAACCGCTACATAAAACCGGAGCGGCTTTTAGACTGTTTCAAGCCGGTTTTATGACCGGGTGGCAGTTTTACTGGTCGGGCCGAACGGCTCGGCTCGGCTTTAATAACACTGAGTTTAAGTCTAAAACTGATTTATACTCTTACTAACGGGTTGTCGATCCACCATCCCCAACTTTTTTTTTTTTTTACCTGAGATGGTTCTTAGAGGTGGCGGGTGGACATGGTTTGGGTTTCGGGTTGACCTGCTGAAATAATTTTTCAATTGACTATTAAGAGGTTTGACCAAAATTAACAATAAATTCCACACGAATGAGGAACGTTCTATTGGGCAATTTTGCCACCTTGTGTTTGTTTCCAATGAATTGACCAGTAATTGAGATGTGCAAAGTTTTTTATTGTTCATACCAATTTTTCATTTGGCTATTTTAGATGAAGTATTCGCTAACAAAGAAAAGCAAGTTAGCTTAGCCAATTGTGCAATTTTCCATGTGAAAAGCCAGGATCCTTTCACTTGCTAGGAGGGTTACCTTAGCCACTTCTGTGTTTGAATTCTCTACCTAGTTATGCTATGCAGTACTCTATCTTACATGTCACTGTCTGTGAAGCGATCGATCGAAAGATCTGAGGTTTCATCTGGGGATCCCATGATGGGGCCATGAAGGCCCACTTTATCTCTTGGGAAATAATTTGTAAACCCAAAAGTCAGGAGGGATTAGGGTTGAGGTCTGCTAGATGTATGAATAGAGCCTTTATGGTTAAAGCTTGCGTGACAAATGTTGAATCATGAAAATATGCTCTGGGTTAAAGTCTTGCAGGCAAGAAGAAAAGCAACCACTCACGCCTATGGAGAGGCATC